ATATATATATATTGGAAAGAGTTACATTAAAAAAACTTGAAATATTCTCTTTATCTGAAATTTTGAACAAAAATATTTGGAAGGTCATGAAATTTTTAGGGAATCTTTTTACAGAATGAATAGACACTCTGTGTGTGTGTGTGAGAGAGAGAGAGAAAGAAATACAACCTGTAGTAAACCGATGGGAAATTGAGGATGTACTTCAGTCGTCATCCAGAGTCTGAATATCTCGTGAACAGTTTCTGTTTCAACAAGAGCATCCATTACTTCTGTACAAAAGGGCAATGATAAATGGATATTTTGTAAAAGAACCCAGCCGCCAGTACTCATAGCTTCGTTAATCATTCTTCGAGCATGAAATTCTTGACCTTGCCCCATCGATACCGAATTTAATGCTAAAATGTTAAAAATATATTAGTAATAATAAAGATAATAATGCTAATGTTAAAGATATTGTTACTAAACATACTTATATATATTTTTATATTGATTTTAATTTTTTTTAACTGTTGAGAAAAAACAATTAATTAAATTGCACACTTACGAATTGTTTTTTGTTTAGCTAATGCTGTAATTTGAGGACTCGGGTCAGATCCTATAGATAATAAGCATATCAGCGGCGTTCTAGTTTCAGATTCTAACCACGTTGTTTCTAAGTCCAATATTTTAGCTTCGCCGTATTCTTTACCCAACGATTCAATGATATATCTTCTCGCTTGGGATAAAGTTCTGTCGGGACTCCATGATCTGATGAGAAGTAACTTTCGGAACACATCAAGACTTTTTTGATAGCCGCAAGGCAATTCTTCCTCCTCTGGCTTCTCTTTTTCGTACCATATTCTCCACTCTTTTTCGCTAAATTCAATTTTAGTTAAAATTTCTGAAAATATTTCTAGTCTGCTTATTTCGACCAAATTTAGCCACGTTATATCAAGTATCCATTTAAATGGTTTCGGAGTTACTGCATTAAGATCTAAGGATGCGCCGCCTTTTATAAAAGCGTTAAATTCTGCATGAGAAATAATGCCTCTGTGACAATCTATCTTCATGGCTAGCATCAGCGTAAACAAAGGTTTACCCAGCCGCCAGTACTCATAGCTTCGTTAATCATTCTTCGAGCATGAAATTCTTGACCTTGCCCCATCGATACCGAATTTAATGCTAAAATGTTAAAAATATATTAGTAATAATAAAGATAATAATGCTAATGTTAAAGATATTGTTACTAAACATACTTATATATATTTTTATATTGATTTTAATTTTTTTTAACTGTTGAGAAAAAACAATTAATTAAATTGCACACTTACGAATTGTTTTTTGTTTAGCTAATGCTGTAATTTGAGGACTCGGGTCAGATCCTATAGATAATAAGCATATCAGCGGCGTTCTAGTTTCAGATTCTAACCACGTTGTTTCTAAGTCCAATATTTTAGCTTCGCCGTATTCTTTACCCAACGATTCAATGATATATCTTCTCGCTTGGGATAAAGTTCTGTCGGGACTCCATGATCTGATGAGAAGTAACTTTCGGAACACATCAAGACTTTTTTGATAGCCGCAAGGCAATTCTTCCTCCTCTGGCTTCTCTTTTTCGTACCATATTCTCCACTCTTTTTCGCTAAATTCAATTTTAGTTAAAATTTCTGAAAATATTTCTAGTCTGCTTATTTCGACCAAATTTAGCCACGTTATATCAAGTATCCATTTAAATGGTTTCGGAGTTACTGCATTAAGATCTAAGGATGCGCCGCCTTTTATAAAAGCGTTAAATTCTGCATGAGAAATAATGCCTCTGTGACAATCTATCTTCATGGCTAGCATCAGCGTAAACAAAGGTTTATGCCTTTCGTAAAGACTTCTCAGAGTAAACGCCCAAACTTCATACGTAAGATGACGGAGAATTATGTTTATTCGTTCGGAAGTAATCGGACTCTTCACAGATTTCGTGATTGAATTATCAAATATTGTCAAGAATTGTCTTAATGAATTTTGATACATCACATTAACATTGCTCATTTCAACTATCAAGAAATACAGGATGGATCCTCTTGACGCAACTGCACGAAATTCTTCGCGTGCCAACGTGATTTTTTTCTCAGTAAGAGCAGATACTTGCAGTTTTTCATTCACCGACTCGGCCGTAATCTTGGTTTCTCGAAGAACAGTTATTAACTCTTCATCGTCCACCAAAGAACCTTCCAAAGATGTAAGTCTGTGTAATAGCGTACCTTCAAGTTCTTTCATCGAACGTTGATTAGTCATAACTGATTCAAATAGAGCGACTCTTTCTGCTTCCAAATCGGCTTTTTCCATAAGTATCACTCGACCTAGTAATTGATCTTCTAAACCTAACATTGTCACGGTAAAGTCAATAATCGACGTTTTCGCGGATATTTCTGGACTGTACGCTGGATTTGGTAGCTTGGTAGTAATGTATAACATGAATCCTGGCATTACGTCGCATTCTTTATCTCCAACAATGACTTTTTCGATAGATCCTGATTTAATAAAGTTTTTTTCGAGTACGTTATCGAGTACTGGATCGAGTTCCTCTGCAACGTCCTCGATTAGCAATGGTCTACCCAATGAAAGGCTATCCTCGAGATGAGTACGAAAGTATTTATGATTTAGCGAAGTAATCTGCAATTCGTTTGTGCTCTCCTTATTCTTGATCCACATCTTTCCTTGATTCTGAGGATCCACAAGAAGCGGATAAGACGAAGATTTGGTGACGATAAGCGCATTCTGTACAGATAACTCATCGTTCGGCAATCCCTGAAGGGTCCATTCCGATGTTGTTGCGGTATCGACGAGCATATTTGTTATATTTAAATTTTTAGTAAAAGGTATAGATTTAGTGGTCAATATATCCATCCACGCAGTTACTAAACTTGCTCGATACTGTTGATTGTAAGGCCCGCAGTACGATAAAAATCCAGTTGCCAAAAGAACATCTCCGACTAATCGTCCTAGTTGAATCTTAAATTCTCCGCTTTGTTCCGTCCAACGAATCTTCTCTCCACCTAATCCATTTATTAAAGCAGTCGCAGCTGTCATTTTTCTCAGGCACACATTTGCAGCCTCTGTCAATCTTTGCTTTTCCGCTACTGCGGAATCGTATTGCTGCTTAACTGTTTGTAAAGCCATTTCTCTTTCGGATAATTCTCGTTCAGCATTCGCCAGATCCTCCATAGCGAGTTTTAATCGTGCTTCTTGCAATGCTAAATTAGCTTTTAACGGGAGAACTTCCTTGTTGACAGAGTGGAAGAATGCCATAGCCTTGGTCCATGACAATAAACCAGCAACGTCACCGCATACACGTCTAGCTGTTTCCATATTATAATCTTCCATTTTGAAGTAGGGTTGCAATAGCTCGACCATTTCGTTATTGATTATGTCTTTCGGATAATTTTGCAATTGTAACAAAAACGTCGTACTGGCCATAAGTTTCAACGATTCTGCCCACGATGGTTTAGGACATGGTGCAGCGGTGTCGGGCACAACGGAACCGATTTTACGTTGAAACAAAATTAATACGCAATCCATGATTCTCATTATGAGATGAGGTGGTCTGCCTAGCTTTCTTACCGTTGCTATGTGAGCAGGTTTTATAGTATTCAGAGCAGCCTCTGCTTCTTCTAACGCTGGTTTTGCAGCTTCTAATTTTTGTTCGGCCAGCGCTTTTTCATCAGCTATACAGGCTACCAATTGCTCCGCTTTTTCCTTTACTTTTTGCACTTGATTTTTAAAAGCTTCAGCCTGCATGGCTCTCTCCGTTACTTCTAAAAGTACCGTCTCGGCTTTCTCGGAAGCCTGGACCAATTCTTGTTCCATTACGGCTAAATCTCTCTTCAGGATTTCAACAGATATCGACGCTTCCTCGAGTTTTGCTAAACCTGTGTCCATTCTTTTGGCTCCTTCACCAAGCTCATGTTGCTTGGACCGATAAATGTTTTTGTATCCACCAATAAAATTTAAATAAGATTTCGGAGTCACGTGAGTAGCGCGTCGAAATCTTTGGAAATATTCGATCGAAATTTTCGAAACAATATCTTGTATAGATCCCAATGCATTCACTAGTTCAGTCTTCACATCGTTAGTGCAAGCAATTTCAAAATCATGAAGAAAATGTTTGGCAACCAAAATTAAAGCATCCTTTGGCCAAGGTTGAAACCAATCTATAGTGCAGCCTGAAATCAGAGCCGGAAAACGCTGTGCGCGATTCCGGAATTTTTCACCCACAGGAGAGAAGCAAAAAACAACATGTAAATTTTGGCAAGTTCTTTGTAAAAAGAAGTCCATCACCAATTCATTATTGAGAGTTCTTTTAGGATTTTCTCGTCTCAAGATAGGTGTTAATTCTGAAATGATTTCCGCTTGCTCGTCACGCGTGAATAAATTGCTGATAACTCCAGAGCTCAGAATATTATTCAAATATTCAAGGAAGCCTTCCTCCTTGATGTCGATATCGGTGAAGATAAATGTTGTACCTTTGCCTTGAGCACCGCAAGTGCGATACAGAAATCTGAGATCTTCTAAAAAGTTGGCTACATTATAAGATCTAGTCAAGGTAATTTGAAATGTCTTGTATCCGGCAATAAAAGAGGATAGTTTTGTCAGACTTTGTTTGCCAGAACCGCCGACGCCTACTAGCATTACATTGCCTTTCGGATGCCTAATGACTCTAGATATTTTTACTAAGTGCAGCATGGCGTCAGGGAAAAATACTAGATCCATCCCAGCACCTCTCTGCATTTCATTGAACTGTGCTAGAAACATGTCTAATCTGTCTCGTAACACTTGCGCGTCATAAACAGGTTCGTATACCTTAGGAAGCTCTACATCTGCGTCCTCACCTTCTTCACCAGTCGGTTCTGGAGCGTCTCTATAATTAAACAAATTTTGTTAACATTTTTAATGTCACAATAAATTGATGTGTTTTACAGATTATCACTACTATTACTATTACGAACCTCATAAAATCGACAAATGCAGGCTCTTGATCCAACATGTTTACGTATTTTTCGCCTAAAATATCGGCCACGACGCGAATCAATTCTTCGTCAAACCAATCTTTATCATTTTGTATCGTAAATCTGTCACTGAACACTCGTGTACATTCGTGCTTCCAAAGCAGCATCAGCACGCTTTCCTTATCAATAACCGTTGACAATGTACCGACCATACCCTGCCAGATTCTCGAGAGATCTCGGAGACTAAAGACATAATGAAACTTCGCTGGTGTTGGTAACAGTTTCGTCCGTGTTTTTTCCCAAAGTATTCTAGTTAAGGGAATCATTTTCTTAACGAGCTGACGGACTTCTTGAGAAAATCCTCTTTTGACATTGTAATGTCCTTCGCCTAAAACACTAAAAATTCGATCGATCGCCACATTGTCGGGTAATGTACAATTAAAAATACAAAACTGTCTCTTGAGTCTCGAGGGAATATCGTTTCTTCCGCCGCCGGGCTGACACATGGCTGCTAAGAAAATTACATCTACGATGGCAATGAAGTCGCCGGGTTTTTCCAGAGAATAAAATCCTTTCATGTCCATAGTCTGTCGAACGATTTCATTAGTTATTTGATCGCCCCATTCATTGATTTGCGGTAAATTCACATCATCGATAAAAATCAACATCTTTTTGCCGCCTGATGGCCCAAATGTATTTCCCATACGTTTTTCGACATAGCTTTCGATGGTTTTCTGGAATTGGTATGGACTGGTCGCTGAACTAAAATTGAAGGAGCGACTCAAAGTTGTGTCTGGATTTGTTTTCTTCATGTACGACTTCATCATAACAGTTTTAGCGGAGCCCTGCTCGCCTATTAGCAATACAGCTTTATCCTGACGACCAATCAAATTCACGAGATATTGAATTCTTACATTATCCGGTATAGGCACCAAAACATTACTGTAATCAGGCGCTGAATATTCAGGATAGACATAATTGGTCACCATGCTTGTCCACGTGTCCCACACGCCTTTATCAGTGACGAAAAAATCGAATACTGTGGCATCCGGATATCTATCGGAAGTCGGAAGATCCAAGGTATTGAAGTTTTCTCGAAGATATCTGTCGTACTTTTGTCTGTCGACAGTTTCCAGCAATGCTCCTATACCCCACACTAATGCGAATACATAAAGACGTTTTAGATATTCCGCAGTTACAGGTTGAGGTTTGTCTTTCTCTAAATCTTCATCTTCGGCTTCTTCTACTGTTGTTTCTTCAGGTATTAAACCTTCCAGCAAGCAAAGCATTTGTCTTATTATATTACATTGCAAGACATTGATGGCAAGTACTAGCGTTTGAGTGCTCCACGAATAAACCTAGAATAAAAATTTATTTATAGTTTTTATATTATACAGATAATTGTTTTACTTATAAAATTTTATACTAAATTAATTATTTGACATCTACACTTTATCATGATCAATTATATGTACATATGTTACTAAAATATTATAA